TCTGTGTGTAAATGTGTACTTTCATTTCTTCCTTCCCTACGGTAAGTGGTTTATTTTTTTATATCTTTCCAGGATTAAATATTATAAATTGACGTTGAAAAGCAAAAGTAAGAAAATTTTTAAATACATATGTACACAAATGTATCACAGATGTAAATTAAAAATGAAAAAGAAAATTCTTTTACACAAACGTAAATATATTAATGATTTATGATATATTTGAAATAATTTATTTAATAAAAAAGGAGTGCATTTTTTATTAACAATTTATTTATAATTTTGAAATATATATTTATTCTTGCTATACGTCAATTTCTTCGCAATCTTTCCTAGCCTACCCATGCATCCGTGGTCCTATGGCTTAACACTAAAACTACCAAAGCGGTCAAAATATCCGGTTTATTCTTTTTAGAATAATTATTTAAATTTATAATGTATTGTGTGTGAGATTTTTTTCTGTGACTTGTTGCATTGTGTTAAATAATTTAATTGATTAATGTACTTTTTCTCTTTATTACTTTTTATAAAAAATGAAAAAAGAAATAGAAGTTGGTATATATGTTAATCGTCGGTAGTTCCAGTGTTGATCCCATGGTTGAGCATGGACTTTCGAAATTCGTGGTCCCATTGATGATGGTCGAGCACGGATCTCGAAACATTGATATGATCGAACATTGAACAATGGTCGACTATCAATACAAATTTCGGACGCAACTAGCGGAAACTGAGCCGAGCTCTGCGCTAGCGTCCTGCGAGAAACATCGAGACAATCGCTCTCGGATTTTCGATGCAAATAGCGGTAACTGAGCTGAGCTCTGCGCTAAGCATCACTCGAAAAACGCCGAGGTCGTTATCCTCGGAATTCTCTCAAGTGAGAGATGTCATTTGCGTACACGAAAATGCGTATAACGTTATATTAAATCGATACTTATAAATTAAATTATTAATCGTTAAATCATTATCTCTATCCGCGTTTCTCGGTTTATTTGATTTACACGAGTTTTCAGATATCTACATCTTTTATTAGGTAGGATTTTCTATTAGATAGAATTGTTTTATTAGGTAGGATTTTTTGTTAGGCAGAATTAAACAATTTTGTATAAATTTTGTATTCTTTTTATTTCTTTGCATCGATAAATATTGAAACATCTGCTTTGACAGTGAGTTTGCAGTTTGTCGATGACAAAGAAAATGACAAAACTTTGGGTGGGCAAACAGCAAGATTTTCTTTCGAAAAACGAAAGAAATTTCTTCCGCAAATAAAGCATTATATTGAAAGTAAGGCGTTTAGATGTTTAAATATATAGAAAATAACTTTCACGATAGGAAAGTTTTTTACAGTTTTATAAGATACTTTGCTCTTTTCAAGTAAAATCTTTTAAATTTTCCATAAATCTTTTAAACGTTTAAACGTCTTTATTGACATCTTGATAGCAAATAAACTATTATATTAATTTTTATAATTGAAATATCGAGTTCAAAGGAATGATGAGGGTACATCTTCCTTTTATTTAATATTATTTCTGTTTTATGTTATTTTGTGTATTATTTCGGTGAAAAATGAAGAGGGCAATATATATAAGAAAATATATTTTCCTCTATTTATTTTTCGATAAAAAAATGTTCCGTTTATTTGAAAATTTTATTTGTATTCTTTTGCGATTACCTACTTATCACTTAAGAGATATGAATGTTTTTTCAATTTCTTACATAATTGCGATTACCGTCGTAGTCGATCTCTTATATGTAAAATGATGCAAATGGAATCTTCAATAAATGTACAACATGAATATAAATGTACAAAATAAAATTTCCAATTCGACAATATTCACATTTATTTGTTTTAGATTATCGAACAATGATATATTAGGACAATGAAAAATGAAGAATAGTTTCCTAAAACAAAATAAATATTTTTTAGATTTTTATTAAACGCTTTTATTTTTTAGGTGTAATTTGTCAGGTATGATTTTTCAGACTTTTATTTAATGTTTCTTTATATTTTATATTTATATATTTGATATGTATATGTATATCTGGTTAATGCTTTTAAGAAAGTTTCTTAACATGCTGCTTGATGTAACTTCACGAAAATTTAATTTTTTATCTATATTTATTTTCAGATTTTAACTAAATATTTTAATTTTTCAGACTTTAATTAAAAGTTTTTATTTTTTAAGTGTGATTTTTCAGGTATAATTTTTTATTTTTATTTAATGTTTTTTTATCTTTTACACACCACACACATTAAAATATATAATTTTGTATATTGTATATATATGTTTGGTGGATGTTACCTTTAGTTTAGTTAAAACATTACAATAAATGGGATTGAGAAAATACGCAAAAAATTTGTTTGTTTATTTGGAAATTTGTTTATTATTCACTGAAAAATCCACAACTTCACAAAAGCGTCATCGAGCTGGATCTCATTGTGATTGTTTAAGAATCGTTTATTTAAAAGTCATAGCGAGGAAGATTTGACTCGGACTCATATCTTCGCATTCTTTAAACAATATTGTCTAATAAGTTATTTACACATAACATAACATATATACAAAGACCTGAAAATCTGCGCGTGCAAACTTCAAAATCAATCCACAAATGCAAAAAAAACTTCATAAATGTGAGAGTGAAAAGGCTTATTGATATTGAGTTAGGCGAGATTAAAATAAAATAATTATTTATAAATTAATAACTATAAATGTAATTTGATACTACACTAAAAGTCACCGCTGACAACAAATTAAAAAAAATTTTGAAGCTTGAAATTTATACCTTTACGTGCCGTTTTTTTTTAAATTTGATGAAGCACATAAAAGTACAAGTTTCAAGCTATAAAATGCTTTTTTAATTTTTTGTTTACGTGAATTTTTCGCCGAATTACAGCAGTTTGAAGATTGGTCAATTTTAAGCGTCTGAACGTTTCGACGCGGCACAGCGATAATGCGACCGAGTGCGCGCCATTACTACAGCATCGTGCGTATTAATGGCGCGCATCGGCCGTACTGGCTGCCGCACTTTTACGTGCTTTAGGTCGTTTATGAAAATTTTTTATCTTTACACTTCTAAGTCCGAAGAAAGAACACATTGTTTTGTTGTCAATAAATTTTTTTTCGCAAAATTTATGAAAAGTGTCAAAAACTACAACATTTCACCTACAAAAAACGCGTCTTTTTAAATTTTGCAACTATTTTTTTTCTACAAATTACGCAACTTTAAAATTAACCCTACATTCTGCGCAAAATAACGTTTACTATCGGCAGTAACATTAGCGTAAAAAATACAAGTTTATCTTTAAAGTCATATAACTCGGCTAAAAAAATCGTAGCAAATTTTTAAAAACCACGTTTCGTAAGTAAAATTTCTATTTTTCACGAAACTTCAAACAGATTTGAACATTTATTTCAACAATTTAGGAATTTAATGTTAAAAATTAAGAATATATAGAAAAATGAAATAGTTTTTACCGAAGAAGAGTCTACTTCAAATTGATGAAAAAATTCGAAGATGAAGTTTGCAAGCACATTGTTCAATACTTTGTATAATTAAAATATTCATAATTAAATAACAACGGTAAAGTATTGAATGCAGTATGAGTACGAATCGTTATATTTTAAATATATCTTAAGAATGACTTTATGCACCGATTCGTGCAAGGATAGCTCGTGCAAGTTCCATTCGAAAACATTGTTTGGACTAAAAGAGAATTATTATAATTACTGCAATGCAAGCTACACAACCGGTGAACCGATAATAATGGAGAATTCTAGACTAATATTTTTTTATGTGTTCAATTTTGAATACTATAGCATTTTCAAAATTCTAATAGTAAAAATACATATTGCTTGTAAAAATAGCGAAGAAATAAATGTAAACAGTTATCTTCGCTGATTAGAGTAGATTGATAATTTGCGAAAAGTGCAAAATACTAATATAGTAATACTACAATATTCAGTATCTATTTCACTCGATTCAATAATTATTAAGCCTCCTACCTCGTCATTTCAGTGTCATATTGATATCACATAACGAAAAATCATACGAATATTTTTTTGTCACTATACACGCACACATCAAAATTTGTTCTTTTTGTTCACTATCATTACTGACAAGAATTTATTTATCAATACTGTGGAAGTAAATTGTATATAGTTTTCCATTTCTGGTATTGTAATATCGAACTGTCAGCACAAGAAGAAAGTTCCAAGCAAATTTAAAAAATGAGAATTTAGATCACACGGTATTTTAAGAAAGTATGTTATATCGCTTATCGTATGCAATATATATATTTTTTCCCGAATGTAGCACGACACGTAAATAACCTTTATCTCTTCATAAAAGTGTTAGTCTACTTGGCAAATTAAGTAGACAAACGTAATTAAGATTAGGTAGTAAATAGTGATGCCGTGTGTAAATTTATCTGATTTTAGTGCACAAATTTATCTTCTGTAATTTTACTTTTCTATTAAACGTCCCGAAATACTCGACATTATTCGCTGTTAGGTGTGAGTGAATTATAATGATAAGTTACTTAATGAACAACACACAATGGCTTGAGTGCTTGGATGCTTTCCAGATTGGACCAAATCTCGAAAGTCAGATTGTCTTCTAGCACAGAAGAAAACAGACACCAACTAGGCTGGACCTCGATTAATGTTAGGATGTCGAAGCGTCATAAGTCTGGAAATCTGAAAAGCGATTATTAATGGTTAGTAAAAATGTTACGTGTCATGTGGTTACTGTAAAATGATATGAAAAACATAAAATGTTAAATGGCTGTTTTTACGATAAAGATTCTTAAATATATTTAGCGTTAAAAAATTGATTATTAGACGTTTTAAACTGTGTTAGAAATGAAATAAATATAACTAGCATTTATCTGACTTATTTTTAAACGCGTTTTGAGATATAAATGACATAAATATATCTTACAATATATTGCCAATGCTTCGAAAAAAGGAAACTTTGACAATAAGACACAAACATGCAGTTGTTAGAAAAAACTTATTATTACGTATTAGTGTGTTAAACGAGATGTACTGTCAAAATAAATGTTCACAATATCTACTTGTGTCAATATCGAGATAATTTTATATATATATTTATTTTATTATTTTACTGATAATTTAAATATAATTAAAAACAAAAAATACATAATATATTAACAAAATAAAAGATTTGTTGAATAACAAAAATTGATAAGTCCGATAACAAAATGCTCTTTTTATCTTTATCTTGAAGATTATCCTCAAGTACATGACGCGGTATGCAGAACCATCATCATAGTCACGTACGCACCGTAACTTCTGAAATGTATTATTGTGCCTCAGATTGAAAATAATATATGTATATGTATGTATGTGAAATGTGTTGGATGTATAATTTATTTGTAATAAATTTTTGAAACTCCGAACTCAAGGAATCTTTTATCGTTGAGAATTTTAAATCTTTTACGTAACGTTAAGTACGTAATTTTTATGTTAAAATTTTATAAAAATAATGTATATGCAGTCTATTTTATCAAAAACAAATTTACCTCATTGGATCTTCAAAGTAGTCTGATGGCACTTGAAATAATTCTGGATCTATGTCATTTCGAAAGGCAAACTCTTGAAAAGTTATTTTAGCAGTGACTGTAGGCAAAATCGGTATGTCGATCTTGACCGGAAATCCAGGGGGCAACTTCATGAGTACGAATTGCCGTAACTTGCTTAGATGCTTAAACGGTGCGATTACTTCCAAAACATTGAGTAACATGTCGACAGTGAGGGGGAAGTTCGGACTCATCGCCACAGTGGCTTTGAAGGATTTACTACTTTCTTTATAAACAAGATTTCTTCCTAAAAGCGGACACTGGCCGGGTGGCGCAATGATATATTCATCCCAAGTTATATTTGATTCTGGCGGTGGGTTCAACGATGCTCTTCTCATAGGAGGCTAAATAAATAGAATAAACAAATGATAATTTTACACGATCTTATAACTAAAGTAATAATGAACAAACACTTCAAGTGCTTTCTCACCTCGCCATTTTTAAACCCTTGAGAACTGCCCTTCGTAAGAGACTCCATGATCGCTTTATTTTTTTGAAGATCTTCCTCGCTCAAATGTTCACGACGCTTTCGACTTTCCAGTACCATGCCATTGATTTGATAAAAATCGGCATTGAAGGCGCCCACCATTTCCTTAAATATAAATTTTTATGTTAGTATTGCCTTTTTCCATAATTAAGAAAAAAACTATAGAAAAATTAAAGAAGTTTTTACTTAAAAAAAAGCATAGTTGGTTCGAGATTCAACTGCGCTTCACTCTTTGTCAACACTAGTTTAATATATATATATATACTTGCCCTTTTATCTTCTCTAAAAATCCACCCCGTTTGTGCTCTAGAAAACGTGATATTTTTCGTGGACATTTGCGCTGCCATGATATCGCTAGACATAAGAATATCAACTTCATCCTCTATCTCAAGTTCTGTTTCCTAAAAATCCATACAAAACAGATAATTGCTTTAATATAAATCACTTTTAAAAATCACTATCAAAATTTGATTTTTCTATCGTAAGATTCTATTTCAACATAAGAGAGACATGAATCGAATTAATCATTACATTAAGAACATTGTCAAAGAATATTCGAAACTTTTATTACATACACAAAATGAAACTATTATATTTTTTTAATACGTTATACATATAAAAATATTTTAAAAAATGGATAATTTTAAAGAAACTGTTAACCTCATATCTCACTCTTTGGAAAAGTTTGGCTTTATTGTCAAGGACAGTCAATGAATGGCTGGGCTTTTGGTCACCATTGAAGATGAAAGATATATCACCCCTTTCCCATCGCATGTCATTAAAGTCTACAAGAGTAGTGTCCATCCTAATTGAAGCTCCACTTTTATGGATCTTACATATATCTGACGGCAACACTCTCGAAACTAATGGTACTGAAAGGAACAGACGTATTTAACATTAATCGACAGACAAGAACTTAAAAAATTACATTGATATATAGTTAGAAAAACGTATATAATGCATCTGAAAAAGTAGGAATAAGTCATTCGAACTCACTTCTTGATAACTCGATGTATTTACGAATTCTTTATTTATTAAAGTCCATTTTAGATACGACTTAATACTTAACTTTTAATAATCACCATAAATTTCAAGTTTTTAATATTACGACATTACATATACATATATACATACATTATTTAAAAAATAAGTCATTATCGTTTAAAAATAATAACTAAAAACATTTATGAAGAAACGATCCAAATTATGTCATTTTATGCTATTCTTTTAAATTTAGATACCTGTTTAGGTACCTTTATTGAAGTATGTTTTATTAATTATATACTTACCTTATCTTCAGCGCAGAGGATGAGCGAGGCATGTCGCAGCCTCATAATACTGTCGTAACTGTCTAATCAACAATTTAAGAATTTTATGATTTATGAATATAAAAAAATTCAAAATAATATTTAATCTGAAATTTTTCTCCTTGGTATATTTTCAGTTACGACAGTTTTATTATTGACGCTTATATCTAGACTTTTTTTTATCAAAAAAAAAAGGAAGTACCAATAATAGAGCCATTAATTGCTACAGATATAAAATAAAAATTCGTGCAATTTTTACAAATATCACAAAGTATCCTATTTCTCTCAAATCTATTGTTATACGGACTTAGCAAATTTTCACATAACAGAAGTTTTGACGATCGAAATGACAACACCTACGAGACATTCGTCATAAAAGCACAATAAAATAAAAAATAAATATAAAGTTTTAAAATTCCAAAACATTGACTTTGATGTAACATACACGGTAATGTGCCTATACAGGATGGAATATAATAGGAAAGGATTGAGGACTTACGAGATAGATACTACTCACTACATTAAGTAAAAAAGATTATAAACATAGATTAAAAAACCAATTCTTTCAGAGTTATAAGTGTATTTTCAGTTTTGCACAAGTGATTCGCTTACTTCCATTCATGGTGTGCAATGTGAAAACGTATGAGTATGTTACATCATGATATTTACGGATGTTCCACATGCGCTCCTTCCATTTCCACACACACTTTATTATCTTCGCATCACAAAATTGTGAATTCTTTCAAAAATTCCTGGTTTTCTTCGAATCACTTGAGCGGCTTTGTGTGCCGTGTAAATTTTCCGATTATTTATAAAGTTCAGGGAAAGATACGAATGCTAGAAAGCCGTGAAGACCAGTTTAGACGGCTAAATTTTGTTTCAGAAAGATAAGTTTGGAAAAATATACAGCGAGTTCGCGAAATGCGAACAATAGTTCGTAAGCAATATTGAAAACTTTGGTATCGAGAAGGAAACAAAAATAAACCCAAAGGTAGATGGCGAAAGTAGACCCAATTTTTCATATTAAAAATCGCAAATTTTTCTACTTAGCTAACTCTACTAATTTTTTAGATTTAAAAAATTCTGATAAGAAAGTGTTGAAAACAATCGATAAATTTTTATAGCTTGAAATTGATAACAAAAATTAAAAACTTGAAAGATATTTCTATATATGTCGTCTTGAAAAAGAAATCTAGCAAATATTTATACATAAATTAACATAGATTTGTGGAAAGTACAAAGAGGAACAAATTATTTGGTTCAGCGATGTTAATTCGAGGAAATCAGTTACATCAAAGCAAAAGCACATATTATGGTGAAAAAGTGCTACGAAAAAACTGATGCCATATTTGCGGAAGCAAACATCCCGATTGTCGCTTCCCACTTTTCCAGGTGCGTGCAGTGTGATAAACAATGTAATTCTGCAACGAAAATAATTACGCAATTAGAAACAGAAAGAAGCATGTGAGAAACTTACCCCAGCTCTGAAAATCCCATTTTAATTCCATATAAAAATCGCCCATTTGATGCAAAGCGGCAACTAAATTTGGCCTCCTTTCTTCCATCTGCTTTCTTGCTTGTTCCTTCAATTTACGTACTAAAGATGATACTACGAGAAAAATTACAAAATCACAACTTTGATTTTACATCTTGCAAATGCATATATATAAATATCACTGCTACTGAATTGTTTTATCTTCAACCACTTAAAATTCTTAAAAGTTAAAACTAACACACAGGATGCTACACATCTATATATTATCACTTTATTTTATACGAACTGGTATGTCTATCTCCATAACTAATTGCTTCAGCCAATGGACTCCAACCAGCTAGATTCTTCACTTTTACAGGCGCACCATGTGCAAGCAATAATCGAATACATTCTATAAAAAAAGAGGTAAAATATACATTATCTACTTATATCTTTTTTCTCTGTGACATTTAATGCAGTTTGATAGTTCAAATGTAGAGTAAAATTTAATAATATATATACCTTTTCTTCCCAACATCACAGCTAAATGCAAAGGTGAATTTCCTATGACAGAAAACATGACAGAATTACATATATCAAGCTCTGATATATTTCTTACATTTAATACAAAAGTCTAAACATCTTTATATACAGATATTAATGAGAGAATATATGAAATGGGCTTAGAATATGATCATGTTGTAATATTGGAGCAAACCTTGTTTATCCTTCTCAGCTATGTCATGTGTCCTAATTAAAGAACTCAATGTTTTCACATCACCTTGAAATATACATTTATGAAGCGGGTATTGCTCGCCTTCTTTCTGCGCCATGATCATCGGCATCTGAGATGTCATATGTTATAACAGTAGAATTCAATACAAGATTCTGCTCTTTATGTTACAGCACATTCCATGTAGAATACCAATGTTAATCATCGTATCACTGATGTTATAAATAGCATAGTTTCCCACACATGTTTTGATTTCTGACTGATTTGTGATTTAACATGTTGCATGATGCTTTACATAACTCTTACACCTCTTTTTGCTTTATCTGCCTTTATCTGACACCTTGCTTCTTTTTTAGGTTCACACAAATTCTGCAAAATTCTCTGTCAGCACTTGTACAAAATCCATATATGTACATATGTGTGTGTGTGCATAATGTGCTTTGAGGCCAGCTGCTTGCCAAAGAAAATAACCTAACTGGACAATGCAGTATTAATTTACAGCAACGAACGGTTGATGACAGGTCCTGATTTATTGCAGAACTTCTATATTTGTTTTTACGCAAGTGCAACACCAGCAGCACGCTCTACTAATTGCTACAAGCGCGTTCAGAAACCAAGGTACTTCTGTCACTATTGAATATACTTATTATAATTAACATGAAGCCTATTTTTTTTAGCTCTTCCACTAATTCGTGCGATTTTGTCTTTTCCTTTCTTTCTTGCAGAACCTGAACCACCGACGAGATGCATCCAGCAATGCCTTTCCACATAAACTTGCAAATTTGGACAATTCAGAGCGTATATGACGTGTCTGGATATTCGTGCGTTAGAAATGTACTGGACAAAATTAAGATTACCTGATTGGTCAAATTCTAATCTTCAATTAACAGATTTTAAAGAAAAATCGGTTTTTTAATAATAATTATTTTCTTTTTTAGAGTGCCTAGAGCTAGAAGTAGTTATCCAACATTATTCAACAAATGCTGGGAGAAAATCAATGCAGATTCTTCAACAATTTCATATCGGTAATCGATCAATATCTTTCTATATGATCATCTGATGAAAATGTAGAAATTTGATGATAATTAGAAAATCTTTTATCTATTTTTATATTGATATGAGATTATATGAGCGAATATAATCTATTTCATAAATTTATGTTAATTAAAGTAACAAAATTTTTTAACATTTTTATTATGGATTTAAAAAAATAGAAATCAATCTAAGATTGTTTAAGTATATCTTTTTACTTTCTTTTTTTGGCAGAACAAGAAGAGAGAATATATAAAACTTTCAAAAATATTTCGAAAAATTAATATTAACGCATGTTGGAATTAATATTGTTTATTTTTATTGCAATATACATATTGAAATTGCATTTACATACATATCACGGTAAATGTAAACGTATAACCAATAATTATGATTTTTTCTTTATCTTTTCCTTTTTCAGTTTACAAAAAAAGAAGAAATGCAAAAATTATATAAGACATATGAAAATAAATGGATGATGTGCACGCAACTATTGATAAAATTTACTGCAGCTGTGTATATGGATATAAGAACGACATAAATAAGTAAGTATCAAAAATAACAGAAGTTGAAATTATAGTGCATAAAATGATTTATTGTTAGCTATAAATGTCGGTTAAATTTGCTGCTGTTTTTTATCAATCAAACGTTTCAATAATCACTTGTTATACATATTTACCTTTACAATTCACATATAATACACAAATAATAAATATTGCTGCTCTCATTAAATGTTTATTTCTACTTTTGTAAAATAAAGTCATGGCAACGCGGACGGATATGTCACTTATAACGATAATAATAATAATAAAACAGTCATTGCTTCAACATTTTGGAGCAGCTTGCATATTTTATGTACACAATACAACTGTATTTTAAAGGCTATGCTATTTTCTGCCGAAACTATAGTGCCAGTTGCGCTAAACCAAACTGGCGGTACCGATGTTAATAACGACATTATCAGCATTTCGCTCGTAAACTGTTAAATCGTGTCCCCTTGGCTGCTCCAATAAGGCGGCTAGTTGTTCTCTACTTGTGAATGATCCCGTCGAAGGTGGTAAGATCACATCGCATTCCAGTTGACCTATACAAAGATAAAATGATATTTTAGAGTATTCCAACGCATCAATTTTCGATTAACGAGTCTAACAGTCACAGTCTAATTTAAAATGTGAAATAATTTGTTAAACGAAACGTTTAATGAGTGACATATCTGTCATTTTTTTTGTTAACATCAACTCTCTTCGTATTTACCTGACAACGAAGGCGATGCGCCTTTGCTAGAGCCGTACATGCGAGTGCTGTATCCAGAATCGTTATGAGTATCGTGCAGAGGTGGTGTCGGACTGTATACAGGATTACGTGATCTGTAAGGCATTCTCGCGATACTGTCGTCATAATGCACGACTTCGGGTATACTTTGTCGGCAGTTTGTTCCTTTATATGCTTCGGGTTGTTCGGCATCGTCATCTTCTGCTTCACTACTTTCGCTGTCGTTGTCTATAACATTGATATCTGTTATAATAAATTATTCGAATCAGTTCGTATTGAGAAAATACCGAGGATTTATACACTAGTCCACAAAAAATGGGAAACACTCTTTAAACGCTCAAAATTACTTTTTGCGTTGACGCGGAAGAGCAGCGCGGCCGAATGTCTGAGTGCCTACATAGAACACTCATGCATTCTTGCATATTAATGGCGCATCGTATAATTTGACCAAAAAAATCGTGGGAAAATTTAGAAAAGTGGCGCAGAATTCATTGACGTCTCTATTTTGTATTTACCCGATCTCTTCAATTCGTGGGCCGTTTCTATCTCGCGTTTGCCTATAGGCCTACTTTGTTTTGTAGGTAAAATGTTGTAGTTTTTGGCACTTATCTTAATTTTCTTATCGAGCTGCAGATTGTTGAAACATGCGTACTTAATGTTAAAGGATAGAACAATGTTTTTTTTACTATAAAGAAAAAGATTTCAAAAACGGCCTAAAGCATGTACAAACCTCGACCTTAAAAACACTTTTTTAATTTTTGTCCGCAATAGTTTTTTATCGAGTTTTAGCGATTTAAAAATTACTCGATTTTAAACGTTTAAAAAATGTCTATTTTTTATAAACTAGTGTAGTTTGCATATTTATATAGTTATTAAATACATGAACAATTTTTGTTAGAAAGCAAATATCAGATTCTTCCCTAATTATTCTTTTCTCATTTTCTCTAACTTAATTCTGGTCAAACATTTTGTTAATACATTGCATTACCTTGAGAATGTACTCTCTGATTTTGCGAGCACTTAGTGTGTCCGTCCAGGCTGGTCGCTTCGCTATTGCCGGAACGAATTCTTCGCCAGCCACTATGCATATCAGGTACTTGTTGAAACCGCTTAATTATCTCATGCACGCTGCAACGACCACCATTCCAGTCCATCGTAGTTTCATCCCCGATCTTTCGGGCCTTATTTGCATCCGAAGACATGTTCATATTCTTAAAAAAACAAGGAACAAATATTTAAGTGCAAAAATGCCTCCGGTTTTTTCTTACAATAGCTTAATGCTCTATTATTTGTCACAGATGACGAAGAAAGTAATAAGTAACTTTATTGTTGGCATTTAAAATCTTTCTAAACAGTGATCGTAAATTTGCAATTTTATCGTTTACTTAGTACAAAGATAATAGTAATTGCAAAAAGAATCAGTTAAATCTTACCCTTTGCTGGCGTCTGCCCTCCACAGAAGATAATTCTCTGTCTAAAGGCAAGGTTTCGCTTTGTCTGATGACTCCGTCGAACGTTTCGTTCAATCTCGGAGGAATATCCAACACTCTGAGTGTCGATCTGGCAACACCAGACCCCGACGGCAAGTCTCTCATGGATGTACTGAGTCTAGGTATAGCCGGTATATCCAGATCATCCAAACTTCCGCGGTGAACCGGGGTTTCACCTGGAATTTCGAAACTACGATCCTGCGGCCGGTCGTCCAACAGATCTTCCAGCGATCTTGTTCTGGTCGGTAGCACCACTTCCGATTGATTGTAATTAGTTTTCATCGGCCTTTCGCTATATCTACCTCGCGCCCCTCGATGCAGACGTTGCTGGAGATGCGAGTACCTTTCGTCGCATTTGAATCGCTCTTCTTGAACGCACTTGGTCAACTCCGAGATTTGTCCCCTGGTCTTCCTCTCTAAATTCGCCACTTTCAAGTCGAGTCTCTCGTGAGCCTGATCGATGTGTGCTTTCAACTCGGCCTTGTCTCGTTCGAGCTTGGCCTCCATATGTCGGAAGAACGGTGCGCAATAGCACGTGTATCCCACACCCACCGGGCCTTTTCTTATGTTGCCCGCCAGGTCCAGATAATATTGCTCGCCCCGTCCTAAAGGATCAGATGGCAGAGAATCCAGACGGGGCTGAGGAAACGCTTCCGGGTCCGGATAGTAGTGACAGCCGTAAGGAGACCATTGCCGGCCCATGATGGCTTTTTCAAAGCGAACTTTGTGCTGCTTACTGCTGGACTTGTGTTTCTTTCGGTCTTTCTTCGAGCTACTCCCGCCGCCACCGCTCGTGCCGCTTTCAGTTTTTTCTCGCTTTTTTTCCGACTTAATCGCCTTACCTAACCGAATAAAGTCATCACATTTATCAGGATGAGTATGTTAAATGTATATGCTGACAAGCTAATTAATTTGTCCTTACCGTCGTCTATTTTTCCATCTATCGAGTCTCTTTCGCGGCTTTTGCTACGCGTCCGGCTTTTACCGCGAGCCTTAGAGATAATATCCAGGATTTCATTATGATTCTTGCGACGCGCGATGTCCTTCGCCGTTTCGTTTTGTTTGTTTCGTAGACTTCGATCACAACCGGCTTCCAAAAGAATTCGCGTCAACTTTCGACGACCCATCGCTGCGGCTATGTGCAAGGCAGTATCGCCATTCTAAAGTAGAATGAACAAACAAATTGAAAATAATTTTTAAGATTTAATATTTAATAAATGTTCTAAAAATTCTTGTTGAATAATTGAAGAAAGAGAATAGGTAAGAATGTAAAGAAACGTTACGATAAAAAAAAGTTTCGTAGACCGAAAGTACAACGAAATATTATATTATTTAAAAACTTCATACTTTATTTTGATCAGACACTCTGCACAGAGCTGAGATTAATATGCGAGTTACACCGGCATGGCCATAACGTGCGGAAGTGTGAAGTGGTGTATCGCCATACTGAAACAAATAAATTATCAAGATTTAATTCTTTGATGAACTGATACAATTACTGAAAAACATCCGCACTGAGAGAGGTAAGAAAATATTTGTTTAACGATCTCTTATTGCTTGTTTCGGCAGTAGATCGCATACACTATATTCCTTTTTTCAATCATTTTATCTACTTTTTATATCATTAACGCGTAAACATTTGCTTTTTAAACACTAATTTTCAAAAACTTAATTATCAAAGTATTGATTGTTAAGAATTCATAGAAAGTGGTGAAACAGTTATTAATTTAAAGAAGAATTTTGTAGATGATAAAATAGCGATAGCAGTAATGCAACTTTGTTACTTAATGTATCGTGTGTAGCTATAACTGTGTTAATTTATAATTACAAATCACTTTCGCACATTTACCGTCATTTTATACCGTTATCTTCATACATTAACGTTGCACTGTAGAAACTGTTGCAACTGTACTATGTTATTCTATTGTCTTCTTTTTTACTTTAGAGTATCTTATCTTAAGGGCTTTTACGCGATATTAATATTTAAATCCTTTCTTTTATCCTTATCCTCATCTTCGCGCCACGATGAATGCGATAAAAGCAGGTGAAAAAAATCAACGCATCGCTCACGTTGTTCTGTAGATCGGGATTGCTGCCGGCTAGGAGGAGTTCTCGACAGCTTTGATTATGGCCGTTTTGACAGGCAAGGTGAAGTGGTGCAAATCCGGCGAGATTCCTGGCATGCAGTGGGGCTCGTTGGGTCCCGAGGGCCTTCGCCAGAACCGCCACGGTGCGACTATAGCCACGCCATGATGCCTCGTGTAGCGCCGAGTTTCCATGCTGAAAACACGCAGACGTATTCATCGAAAGTTGCTCCACGCTCGGTTCCAAACTACAGGGTGACTCGAAAGATCTACAGATCAATTTCAAATATAGAATCTGCAATAGTTGTTTAAGGTAAGACAAAAGTCGCTTACCACTCTTTTAATTTATAATTTATCAATTTTTAGTTTAATTATCGAATTTTGTTTTTAAAATTGATGTTTTCTGATACATTTTAAGGTATATTAATGATATTTGATTTGGATTTTTGGTTGTATTGGTTTTTATTTATTAATTCTGTCGCTACTGCCTATAAAATCATCTTGTAAATGCAATACACGCTTAACTATTATCTCATGAAAGAAATGATCTTAGGAACTTTATGATAATTAGCGACCGTTACTTGTACATCTTATCTTAATTATTAACACATTCCATGTCGTGGATCATCTGTGACTTTCAGTTCAGTCCATCACTAGCGATTCATCTCTCTTAGAAGAGATTAATGTTGAGTGAATAAATTTTGAAAGTTACGACTGAAGCTAAGCTGTACCATAAAATGTGCGTCACGGCGAAAAAATGTAGACTTCTCCAAAGAATATAGCAATGTATATGTCGAAGTTTAAGCTGTGCGAAACTGCAATTATTCTTTTAAGAATGAACATTTTGCAATTTTGGGTATAAACTTATTTCACCGCAGTGTTGTCGCGGTAACGCTGATCAAGTTTAATCTGCGGTATCGGTCTGTAATAAATTTATCATGTTGAAATTTGCGATTCGTTATCGGCTGCACGAAAATTTCCATGACGTGTCCGTGCGCGATGCGCGATCGTGCAGCTGGTGCTCGCAGAAACTGGTGTACGGTACACGGTGTAGCGCAACAAAGGAAAAAGGCGAACGGTCGAAAGAGGATGACCGAGAGACTTACAACTGCTCACCCATACTCGGCGAACAGCCGCTGGTCGATGAACCGTGCCATACCACTCGCGACAGCATCGCCGCACACACCTAACTTATGCGTACTCACGCACGATGCTGCTTGGCATATAGGGTGTCTCGTCGAAGACTTGGAGAACTCCAATGATTAGGTAGACAGAGAATGAATCACGTATTTCGTGATCGCGCACAACACTACTATTTATTTCTATCCGAAAGCCTGACTTTGAAAACTTTTAGATCAAACTTACTTCTTCATCGTTTTAACTACAATTTCAAAAGTTTTTAACGTTACAAGTAAATAAAATTTCTGTCGCTTGTTCATCATAATTAAAACTTATTCCTTTTCGTCGAATTAGAGGTCTCTGCCTTCGCCAAATTGATATTCCAAGGACATAGATTATAGGCATGAAGCTAGGCATAAAGACGAGACCGTACGATATCGATGGTACTTTTAGTGGTCGGTTGCTCATCTCAATTTTATTATGGTTATATAACATCGTTTAAGAGTGACAGAGAAAGACACGATATACCAATCAATACTGTCTTTGCTGCCACAGAACGAGAAGTTGTGGGTGGCTTTCAATATGGACTTAAGTATGTTGTGTAAGATAAAAAGGGCTTATCATGTAGTACTTTTTCTCTTTTTGAAGAGAATTAAGTAATCAAATATAAAAGAATATAAGAGAAAGAGGCAGTTGAAGAAACGTCTTATATCAAGAAAAAAGAGAGTATCGGTGATTCATTGAATACGTGCTTTCGAAATATGTTAAAGAGATGCTTTATACACTAACTCCACGAAAAATAGATAGACTTCAGACGCTTCAGACGCTCAAAATATTCAAGCCGCTAAAACTCGATAAAATATTATCACACACACAAAATTAAAAAAGCATTTTCAAGCTTGAAGTTTGTACTTTCACGTGCTTTCAGCCGTTTTTGAAAATTCTTTATCTTTACAATTCTAAGTCTGCAAAAAGACACTTTGTTCTTTTTCTTAAAATTACGTACGTTCAACACTTTGCAGTTTAATAAACAAATTTTTCTTGAAAAATTTATGACATGTGCCAAAAACTACAACATTTTACCTACAAAATGCGTTTTTTGAAATTTTCCTACGATTTTTTTCGGTTAAGTTATACGACTTTGAAATTAATCTTACATTTTGCAAAATAATGTTTACCAGTGGAATTAGCATTAGCGTGAAAAATGCAGGTTTAATTTCAAATCACATAACTCGGCTAAAAAAATCGTAGGAAGATTTTTAAAAATCGCACTTTGTAGGTAAAATGTTGTTCGTTTTTGACACAAGAAAATTTTTTTCCTTGCCGAAAGCACGTAAAAGTGCAGCACAAACTTCAATCTTTAAAATACTTTCTTAATTTTTCGCTTGCAATAATTTTTTGTCGAGTTTTGACGATTTAAAAATTGCTTAATTTTTAAGCGTCTGAAAAGTATGCTCTACGTTTTGTGAACTGATGTACTATTATATTAATAATTATCTTTCTTGAACAAATATAATAAATTACGAGTTCAAGGTTTCACCAACGCGCGCTGATTAGACAACCAAGTGCCTGCGCATTGAATCACATATTGTTAGACTCCTGTTTAAAGCGTGTTGAATACACAAGTCGACATTTAACAACGCCAATATCAAATATAATCCCATGACCACCGCTGTTCGTTCAAGGTCACGATCGATAATGATGGATCATATATCCAGATACTCAACCACATCAGTTGTGTACCATGCGCTTGCACATTTGCAGGAATATACGTTCTCCCACGCGTACGTTTGCCGAGTATCCGGCGGGATGTTTGCTGCGAGGAGAGTTTTAATGTATTCACCCCTCCCGTGAAGAACAGAGTCGGACCGGGCATGCTAATTGCCCGCGGGACAATAGTGGGATTCCACGACGGCATGCGATTCTCCAGCCGCGTCGTATCGTACATCGGGAATAACTTCGTTTTATTTCAACCCACGTGTATATGCGCAACATGAGCCCATCTTCCCGTGCTTTTACGAGTCGTTTCCTGCCCACTTTCGATCCAACTGTGACGATCGAACGGTGCCGACGAGCAAATTTCAAAACCGTTTGTTTTGTTAAATTGGGCTTACACAGACGATCAATCTCTATTTGCGTGAAGAGCGTGATGTTTCGTATGTTAATATGCGATCATTAATCATTACGAAAAGTGTGTCAGAATGTAGAAAATGAAAAAGATGAAATTCCTTCGCAAAGTTTAAAATTTTTTTCATAACAGTATCCAAAGAATTATGTCTGTTTTACAAAAATTGTGACAATATTCAATTATGCATAAAAATGCAATTATATCAAAGCTGTTTTAGCTGCGATTATCTCCCATTCTCCTTCCCGCGTTCAACAATAGTATTGATCTGCCTATACTGCGCCAACTTGTGTAATATGCAATAGAAAACAGTTTTAAAATACTAAGAAGAGCAGAAATGCAAATGGTCCACATTTTCGGGTAATAAAGTTAATAAATAATTACAAAAGATTTATCAATAAAGTTAAGTATTGACGAATGAATCCGTTCAACGATTTTTCCGAAATTTTAATAATTTAGCACAAAAATTTTTGTAATTTTTTATACAAAGATAATGCATGAAAGATATCTACGTATTAGAAAGAAATAATCAAATATTCTAAGAGGAAAATCTTGATTTTCACTAAAGCCGATGAGGGGTCTTCACATGTGGGGTAACTACCCTTAATAGACCGTGTGGCCTAACGGATAAGGCGTCGGACTTCGGATCCGAAGATTGCAGGTTCGAATCCTGTCACGGTCGATACAATTTTTTTTCTATATTTTTCCGATAATTTTGCAGAGTGGAGAACAATCGATACATGACAAATAGATATAGGAATAAATACGTAATTTTTGACAGCCACAAAGTTTTTAATTAATGTAAAATTTTTTTCAAAATAATTTAATATTAAAATTGCCATTGCAATTTAATCCTTCAAAAATCGAAGATCCTCGGGAAGTCATGTTATAACGAGGCGATGATTATAATAAAAATAAGAAGAAACAGCAATAAATCGAATTTTTATTGAGAAAAAAATTCGAAATTGAGAAATCCACGTGAGAAACACAAGGAATTTATGATATTCACCGTAAAACGGGAAACAAATGCAATATTTCTGCGGCATGGTTTGAGAACGATTGTTGATAATAAAAACCATAATGTACACACTCCTTATTGTATGTAGGTATTTTTATTTAAGAGACAAGCATCAAACGACGCGCACGTATACACGGCGCCGACCTACGACTTCAGCATCGATTAATTCTCCCTCTACCTCGTCTCCCTCTTTCTATACTCTTTCTTGAAAAGATCGCCACTCGCCAGGCGTCTTCCATCGTCGAGAAGTGAAATTATTTGCCTTAAGCATGTACGAAAGAGGAGAAAGAAAGATCACGTATACGCTAAGAGAGAGAGTTAGAATGAGAGGGTAAAGGAAGAATCGAAGGAAAAGACGAAGACGAAGCGAGAAGGAGGCGCGTTTCTAGTTGACCCATGACCGGAAGTCATACGTGCAAGCTCAAGGACTATAGAAGATATCTATTTGCGAAGAATCCGGTTATAATTAAGTGGATAAGCAGGGGTGGTAACTCATATGGGGTTTCTTAATTCTTCGAAAGAGAATTAACCACAGCAAGATATCATATCTATATGCTAATCGCGTTTACACGCTGAATAAAATTCATTAGATGGCGAATTGTATAAAGGAATATTTTAAATATCTAAATATTTTTCTCTATAACACTATACAGTGTGTATAATATATTGCAATAAATAATGCCGCAATTAATTGTACAGTACTTTACGTACTTGTCCTTTTTATTCCTCAGGAACGGTCTTATCATTCAACAGCATATGCCGAACAAAGTTTATTATATTTTTATTATCGTTGCTTATAGTTTTTGCTGCGCGAAAATAAAATTTATACCAACACTACTTACGTTGTCCGCTGCACTAACGTCGACGCCCTGCAGCAACAGGATCTCGCACACTTCCACATGGCCACCTGCTGCGGCCAGCAACAGCGGCCCCCGGCCATTCTAAAACACGATGGGAATTCTGAACATTCGTGCGACTGTGCGACTGTGCCAGTAAGCACGCCCGAAAACTCGTTAATTAAGAGACACACGAGCTCGTGAAAAAAACATTCGAAAGTAAATATCTTCTCGTTTGGTGACTCCCGACAGAAAATTTCTTAATCAATGCCGAACATCAAATTCTTCCGATATAAATTAACGTTTTACGAGACTTTCGTCTCTCTGTGTTAAAATTAATTCTTTCAATAGAAATTAAACGTACGATAATAAATTAACGGTTTAATATCTGTGAAGTAAATTTTATATTCATCGTAACGTTCAATCTTGTCGGATATCTTATGTTGCATTTTCTCGTTTACAACTCACTAATTTGTGTAATGTTAACTATCTCGGTAATCAAAATGTGATCAAGTAAAATCCATGTAAGGCTATCTAAAAAAATTGCAGTACGCATCTATAAATAATTTTTATTTTTACTAAGCTAGTTCGACAAATCTTGAATAAAAGAATGAGAATGAAAAATATAGTTACATATTTATTTGTATATAATACCAACTGTGTTATATTTTCTGTTACAGAATTTATTCATGCAATGCGTTTATCGTGACTGCTCGAGAGCGATCTGGAAATTGCGTGTTGGATTTCACCTTCCGGCGAAATGACGATTAATAAATCGAGGCCGGCAGCGACGGAAAAGTCTCAGCGATTAATTTCATCAAGGTAATTAAGGTGGAAGCAACCTTAATTAGTATGTGGATAATCAATTGGGTGGTCCCATTCGTTTGCATTCCGCGAAGGGAGAATGGGACAAATGTATTTTGTGCGAGCGCACCTATCTATATTCTAAACTTACAATCAATCTAACTTACACAAGTATACAAGCGTAGGAAATCATGTTGTGTGAGCGTGAACTAATTAATTGATGAAATTAATATATCGCTTCTAGTCGTGCTCGATGCTGTTAATAAAGTTTTCCTTCCAGCTAACATCGCGAGCAATCACGGAAGGAATTTAAATTAATATTAACTGTACTTGAGTTTTCATCATTAAATTAATTGTCGAGAGACATATACAATATTAATTCATTGAGAGACATATCCTATTGGTGATCTTATTTTTTGTTTTTTCAGGCTCGCAGTAAATATTAAAAATTCTCTTCTCTTCAATTATTAGTGATCATAATTTATGTGTTATATAAAAAAACACACATGTTTCTTTAGTCATCAAGGCAATTTTTATGCAAATTGAACTCTTTTTTTCTGTTCGCTGTATTTATTTCCAATTTCGAAAATATATGACATTAAATTTAAAATCACAAAAATACTATATTAAATAAAATTATATATGGCAAAAAATACAGAGTGCTTCGTCTAACATTATTATTTAAAAAACTTATTTTAGGTAATTTTATAGGAAATTTTTTAGACAATAATTATACGATTTTACATAAAATTTCTATAATAACATAATTTCATCCTGTTTTGCTTGTTTTTACATAAAATTAAATTGCAAATTACATAAAATTCCGTAAAAATACATAAATGCAAATTCCAAATATTTATGTTAAATAAATCACTCTGCAGATATATACTTCGAAAGTTAAAAAATCTTACTTCGTCTGGCAATGGTTTAATGTTTTCGTCGAGTAAACGTGTGACTCGAGCAACGTCGCCACGAGCAGTCGCCTCGCGCAACTTTTCTGCCATTCCAATCGCGCATCTGTAACAAAAGCAATACATGTCAATTTAGACATTATGAGCAATATTGCAATATAGATTTTGATACAATATTATGAACAAGATCCACAAAAAAATGGGAAACTACTTTAAACGTTCAAAATCGAACAATTTTTAAACTACTGAAGCATTTATAAGGTAGAATGTATTTAAAAAATGTTTTATCTTCACAGTTTTTCCTCAAAGTTACATACATTCAACATTCTGCAGCTTGATAAAAAATTTTTCTCGAAAAAATTTGTGATAAATACCAAAAACTACAACATTTTACCTAGTATAAAAAATCGTAATAAAATTTAAAAAATCACGAAAACACGTAAAAGTACGAACTTCAATCTTTAAAATGCTTTTTTAATTTTTTACTTGCGATGATTTTTTTTCGGTGGTTTGAAAATTGCTTAATTTGAAGCGTCTGGAAAGTGTTCCATCTTTTTGTGGATATATCATAATTTATGCACTTTATACTATAGATAATAAATAAATATTTATTATCTAGTATTGTGTGCCTTCTTCAGTAAATAATAAATCTTTATTCTTCGTTAATTTCAAGTGACCTTTAATATTAAAGTATTTGCTACGACAAAATCAATTTTAACTCAATCAAAAAATACATGTGTACAGTTTACATTCTTATATTTGTCCAATATTCTATAACTACTTTGCCTTTGAAATTCTTGTCGTATAATCCGTGTAATATGCGGACAGTAAATTATCCCGATGCCTGGCGTGGCGGTATATGATCTAGGATCCGAAGTGCGTCCGCTAATGAGGTAGACTATTACACTCCCCTAGCAGAGCAATGCTCGTCGTCCGTTTGGAACATTAATCTCGGTCGCGATTATCTCTTTTTGTAGCCATAACGACTCCAGAAATAACGTCGATGTGAACGAACGAAAGCGCACAGTGAGCGAATTTATGAGCAACTCGTGAAAGTACTGCGAGGTGCGAATTAATATGTAGCAAAAACTGTTGACAATTTTCATAATATAAAAACAATTTCTTGAATAATATAATACTAAATCTTCACCTGTCACTGCAGCCAGACTAAATTATAATAATTTGCGAATAAATCGTAAAAGTATAATGAAATGCAAATTAATGCTAAATCTAAATTAATATCCGTGGACAGATTAAGATATTTTGAATATATAATTATTCTTGATTAATTAGCAGTTCTGAGATTTATATTAATCGGAAATTCTTACGATCATATTCGCCGCCATTCAAGCATTGCGATTGCATACTCCAACGTCTTCGCGTCTCATTCTTAAACTGTACGAGACGCGCCCTGTCCGGTCTAACTTATTAATGACATAATACGGTCACGCGTGGCAGACGTCCTATCAATGTGATCAGATGCCATATGACGGCGGAATTGCGCTTCACCAACCGCTCGAATGCCGAAGGGCGCGAGCGACTGCGGACGCACGTGCGGATGCGGTTTTCCTTGTTGACGCAAGGCTCTTAGGGCGATGATGCCCGAACAGTTTCAGTTGGGCCTCCGACGATTTCTACCCGACAGGGAAATAGATATAAAAAGTCAATTATTATTCAGGAAAAACTGATAAAAATCCGAAATCAGGTGTATTCTTGCAACTCATTTTCTTCTCATTTTAAAAGTCGCAATATATTTTGCAGATTGTAAATTTGTTATTTCTAAAAAGAAAGACAATATTCCACGAGAAACCTCGTAACACTTTAAAGATATAGAATCGATACAGCGCCTCTCAAGAAAGAGAAGAGTTAATTAAGAACAAGTCCTATCTGCAAAATCATCGACGGCAGCTTAACGAAATTGCCGTCGTAAGTGTTTCCAATCGTAAGCGGTTTCGCTGGCAGCCGACTTAACGACTTAATATCACGCCAATGATATCAAGGTCACTGTTAATTATTACACTGCGTGGAAAGCGCGGCGTTGAATTGGTCGGAAGAAAATTTGCAAGGAAATTTCGAAAATTGCACTAATCGCACGTATCCACCCTCGCGGGCTAATTGAAAAGAAATAACGTAGTTCGCATTTCTTAAAAAAAAAAATAGCGGAAAGATTTGGTACCGATAGCATATAGTACGGAATTGTGTTAAAATATTTTCATTATATTTAAATTGTACTAAATATGCGAAATATGTCTCGTGCGTTCCGCAAGCTTCCCCACTGATGATGGTATTATAGATCATCGTAAATGTGTGTGATGGTCGCGCCGTAATCTCTTCGCAGTTCATCGTATCGTATTTATCATAGTGCTCATTTTTTCCCGAAGATATAATGCTCCGTCGTGAGGCTTGCTATCCCGCTGTTTTAGCGCAATCCAAGCTGGAGCTTGGCTATCGATCACAATCAGTTCATCATCCACATCCAATTTATTTGTTGCGATTCATCCGTTTGTGCAACAAGAGTGGAAAGACGGAGTGCTTTGTTATAAACATTGTCTTTCCTGCAATTCTGAGCGACAAAACTAGCAAAACTCTCTCCGTATTTGCGTTTTATTGACCGGAACGCGGCCTTTGGTGGTTTTTATATCAATCACAACGATGTTGCGGTGCGTTCCGGTCCACTTCGGACACTGCACTCGGCATCGGTGTATCCTTTCAACCTTAAACTCTTGAAGCTTAACGTTACGAGCGGCATGCCTGGCCGTGGCGAGCCGCAAACGCACTCTGTTCTGGTTGAAATGTTTACGCACATTTTCTTCTCGTTCTCCCGTATATATCAACTATATTCACGCGGTCGAACCGGTAGCAATCGAGTTTGAAATATGAAACGATGAAATATAAAAGCTCCCGCTCTCGCATTTGATTAAAACACGATGTTATTTAGCGCGCGACCGTGTTCGAAAAATGCGATACACATCAGACGTGAGTCTGAGTCGCCGGTTTCTCGCGACGCATCCCGAACCCGAGGAAATACCTGACAATTATCTACTCGTCTCTCACTATCTTCAACAAGACCACTCTCCCCATCCCGCACATTCCTGCGCATTCCGTCCATTATCCGGCATGACGGGAGACTCCGCGTTATAATGACGCCGAGAATCGAGGGATCCACTTGATTCTTAGAGAATTAAATGCACAAATTACACCTGACAGCACCACTCTCATCACAAAGTGACTCACGGCTGTTTGTAGGAAAACTGAGAGCTTTATCTAGATTAGAACCAGTATCGCTGAACACGCGAAGAGTGCGCGTACAAGCGTACTTGTAATGAAGATGCGAATAAAGACACTTGTTTCTTATCTTTAGGGAAGGATATAATTATAAATTTTTTAAGAAACATTGTTTAGCGATAAAGCAAATTTCAAGTATTTCACAATTTACATAACAGAATAAAAAGTATTTGATTACTTTATCAGCTCTGGAAATGGATTAGAAATGGCATGCATTAGCATAACATTAAACCCGTAATTTGACTATCAGCGGCAATTAATTTTTCAAATTCTAATCTCTGACTCATCATTCTCAATCCCCAGTACATTCTGATGCAGACTCTACAAGTTTATGCACTTGGATGCCAATTATAATAATCTTTCAAATAAATATACAAGACAGAAAGATACTGCGACTTTTAAAATTATTAATAAATAAAATCACGTTCATAGATAATTAAACTTTATAGTTATAGAGATGGATACTTATATTTAGAGATACTGATTTTATAATAAGTTTGTCATTATCCTGTTGAGTAAATCTTCGAGGTTTGTTAATAGACTTGTTTAGAGAGAAAGTGGAGAGCCAAAAGATGGAAAGCTGACCCCCTCGTCGGACGACATTTACATTTAAAAGTCATTTTTCCAAATTGGATACAATTGCATAATTTGCTCGTAGCGTACAGTGTTGTCAAGTGAGTAGTTTCGCGATACCGCCACGTGTGAACGTACACATGTACAGCCGAGCACTCGCACACAAGCGAATACTTGCATCTAACTCGCGCGAGAGAAACCGGTATTTGCGCCTTCTAGTAAACCTTTATATACAGGGATGTATAGGGTGCTTCAACAAGCTATACAACCTGCATCAATGACGAAGCTCTGAATACAAGCTGTTGAAAAACTGTAATGTAAAAGCTGTAGATCTATACTGAGAGCTTGAATACGAGCTGCGAACAATTAAATTTTCGCAAATTAATATCTTTAGATAAAAACGATATATATCAAATTTCTCATTCTTTGTTTCTCAAATAGATTTTTCAATGGATTTCGCTCGAACGGAACTGTAATATAAACGTTTAATCGAAATACATATTGCTGAAATTTTTGTCTAATTAAATTACGATGAAGAACATTATTTCAGTTTGTAATAAAGGCTTCTTCCAATTACTCTTATTACAGGACACCTTGTATAATCAACGCTGCAGTCTCAATAAATTTCTGTGATTATTACACACGTTTTCTACTATAAGATTCCAAGTCGTAAACACACTTACCAGCCATATACGCTTATCCAAAAGGCATCGCTTGCGAAAGTAATTTTTTAATCCGTGTAAAAAGGTCGGACAGTTTGTTTTGCACAAAATTCACAAACTAAAAGCACGAAACTACACAACACTATCTTTCTAGAATACTCCGAACGAGCTATCGCACAAAGAGTCTACCTTCTTGCCGATGTCACATACTGCAAAGATCGTTGAGCACTAGCTATAGCGGATCATCGTCAGCGTAATGATACTCTGTCCGGCGGAATTTACTTTACAACGAGATCATTTGTTACGGTACAACGTTCAAAATGGCACCTTGTGTAGCACGTTAAAATGTTTTAAGAAGGCGGTATAATTTCAGCGAAGAATTCTGGAATAAAATAGGTATCTCTGATCAATTTCAAACAAATAAATTATATCAGTTTAATAAATAATTGAATCAGCTTGTTATTTTTATGTTAAAATTTTCTTTTAAGTGGTCTACTATGGTTACTTGGCGATTGCGACAATGTAGAATAAATTAAAATTGGATTAACCACTAATTTCGCGTACAAGAATTATAAATTGAGTTAATTATTAAAACAAGAATTAGAATATATCAATAATAATATAATTTCAGTAAAGCCAATATTAACAAGTGTGCGCAGTGGAGATTTTAATGCCTAAATGAATAGAGATTTTGGAGACTTCAATGCCCGCGTGAACAAGTCGATTGCGTTGATGGCAAGATATCATTATATGACATATTGTAGCAATTAAATTTTCTAAAAATCTTGATTTTTTATTAGCCATCAGCGAGTACGTTAAATTTTATTAAATATTTAGGCTTTTGTTGTAATAAATTATCCAACACTTTATATTCCGTACTCTATTTTTCTCGATAGATTATCAAGAATTTATTTAAATTTGCCAAATCTTTTACTGCGTGAAAAATTTCAAGATGGTTCTTATTTAGTAAGCACTTCACTTACGTTATATTTCACAGTTGTTACGATTAAAACGGTAAGTACATGTGATTTATGCAATTTTACACTTTGGAAAATACGCCATCAACTATACATATTCGCTTATCACTTTAATCTCTCACGCAATCAACGTTCCCATCTTCTGTCCTAAGTTCCCGACATTTTCAACACGAAAATCTTGAATCACTCGAAATTGCTTAACAGCACACGCACAAACGCGCGATATAATTCCTTCACCTAACAGCATAGTCCAAATTTACGATGTATGTCACGGTTTATCGATACGATTAACTTTTCAATGCGCATTTTCAGGGACATGTGTCCTCAACTGAAAGACTCGTAAAGGCGGCCGTACCGAGACTGGTCGCGTCGGGAGAAAGCCGCAAAACGCGAGCGAGCGGTTCTCCAAACCAGTACCGGCATGAACTGGTCGACTTGGTAATCCGCAGGAAATCTGGTGCATGCAACCAAGTCACAATTCGAATACATTCACATTTCTTCATCTAATTTTGTTCGGGTTTTTTTTACAGAAAATGAATTTGGAATAGAAAAATACAAACTTGATTTTATCGACAAAATACAGGAAGCAAACACAACTTCAAAATATATAGTAACTTAATTTTAATGAGTGTTTAAGTTTCCACCTCTTATTAATCGTTTCTTGTAACAGCAGACAAGTCACTGCTGATAACAAGCACGCACAATTTTTTAACAGACAGAATTCGTATTATTATTCACGAAACATTACATGTGTAAACTAAATATCTCACTTCGAATATAGGCAAGTTGAAAATTCTTCAGACGGCACTGTTCCCTACTACCGGAACAATGTTATCCCTCCCCCCCCATGATCTCACCACCCTCTTACGTGACAACCAGACTATCCTGACTACTATAAATTTGTTGTATATCGGCCAATGGCGTAACTAATGATGACTCTCGAGCTGATATTTACTCATGTGACGAGAAAATTTATTTAACAAATGTCTCTAAAAGTACTTCTAGAATAATTTAACGTTTCAAGTTGCATACAATTTTCTATATAATTAATATAACGTGCGATTCTTCAAGAACAAACCACGATAAAAAAGACTAAGAGCCAGAAATGCGGAGCGTAAAAGATATTATAAATTAATATGCAGAATTACGTTTGAAAAATCACAAAAACATTTCGGTCATAATATTTTGAACTTTCTTCAATTCAACAGAATAGTAGAGAAAGGAAAGGATTAAATTAAATAGAAAATATTAAAAACTTATAAGACCGGATAAAATAAAGAAATAAAAAAATTAAATAAATTAAAATGTAATAAGAAACGAATTAACATTAACCAGTTTATTTCGTATTATTTTATTTAAATTTGTAATTATTTTAAACCATCTTTATATATATATACATATATGTATAAGTTTTATAGATCGAATACTTTCCATGTAATTTCTAAATTCTTTTCTTTTTTTATTATAATTTGTTAAACTGAAGAGGAACCGAAACATATTTGTGATTTTCCGCACATTAATTTATAATATCTTTTGCATTCTAACATTCTAACATAATTAAAATGTATTAATTTCGATGCACATTACGTTTCAAGAAACCAAATTTGGAATAAAGTAGGAATTAATCGCAAAGCTCTCACATACATTTCCAAACATGTAATTGGACAATCCTGCAAATCATGTAGAGCTTCCGGAACTCATACTATATGTGTTAATTGAAATATGATCTTGGATTAATCAAGCCTATGTGTTAAAGTTATTACAGGTATTTGTTTAACATTCCTTATATTTTATTTTCTATTTCCATGCTAAAATATATACATATTTAATTTCAATCGTGGAAACTGCAAGAAATGTATAATTAAATAACGCAAATCTTACAGCTTATTCTTTTAAATGTGTCCTTAATTGGAAAAGAATGCTAAACAACAGTCTTTTGTAACAAGTGGTGTCTTCCGTCAAGCTTTGTAGACTGTTCAGTAGATTTTCGATTATCGTGATAATAGTGCCAATTTCGGCTTCACAAGTGTCCAAGTTTTTGACAACTTGATGCAACCAAAGAAGCACGCCATATCCTCGTATAAGAAGTAAAGATGCTTTGGAAATCTTGGTGATAGAAGCAATAACTTCCAAGATGAGTTTCTGAGAAAAAAAATCATAACACAACTGATTTACATCGATGCTTGAATGACAAGGTCCAAAGGTTCAATGTAGCAGTAAAAGAGATCTTTCCAAGAAATAAGAAAATTAGCTTACCTTAGTCTTGGCGTCCGACAGTATGCAAGTGTGAAAACCTAGGAGCATCTTGAACAACATGCATTTTAGGGCCACGTCTACGTCACCTTCCTCCTTTATGCCATCACGAATGTTCTCTAGAATCCAATACCGATGCGCTTTGTGCTCCACGTGTGAACTATGTAGCAATTGCAATAGTTCAGGTATAGTATTTAAATCCAATGCGGGTTTGGCCATCAGAAAGGTGTGTAACGGCGAGTAAAGCGGATGCAGAGGTTGACTGGCGATCAGTGAAGTTCTAGCCAGGAAAGTAGTCGTAAGGCAACTCAGGCGGACATCCTTCAACGGACATTTTAGGGATATAATGCCACTTCGTAAAGCGTCAATCAGACGCATCCATAATAACTTCTCTTTAGATCTGGTGGACAAGCAAATTTCAATTATAATTTGTTTAGAAAACCGCATCTTAACTCGCTACGTCTAAATGAATTTATTGGGATCTAAAAAAGTATATAGAATTATATAGAATTTATAGAATTGGAGAAGGAATATAAAAATATCGTACTTGGATGCTTCGAGATGAAAATAGTATCTGGAAATGATGGTGTACGCTGTCATTCGAACGTCGCTTGAAGCGCTGCAACATGCAGCTAGCACTATCGCTAACGCGCCACTCTGGTTTATTTTATGGCAGGCAACAATATTGTTCTCTGACAATAAAGAACATAGTAGTGGCAGATAAAATGCAGGATCGTACACACCGCTATTCTCATACAATTTATCATCCTGTGAAACAAAAAAAAGGAACTTTAGATATTAGATTCTGCGAAGATAAGCGATGAATAATCTTCGGCTCTGCCAAATATCTGACACGTTTTCTCATTGTACCGCTGTTTGTAATTTATATAACAATTTTAAAAATTACGTACTGTTCTGGCACAAACATTTTGCTCACTTACTTTTAATGCTCTATGCACGGGATAATTTCTTATGGTTTCGCTAACAGTGTCCTTATCGAACAAGTTAAAAATCTCGGAAGTGGAAGGTTGCCTCCAGAGAGCAGTGTCCGTTTCTCCCTTTACACTGTAACGCGTTGCTGCAGTACTTCCCCACAGATACGGCCAGTACTGTTGGAGTGTAACATTACAAGCTTCATAATGCTGAAGAACCTAGAACAATAAAAATGATGTAATCTTATACTTCTTAAACGACGCGATACCTTTGTATATATTGCAATCTTTACTTGCAAAATGCGCTGATCAACGTGGCTGAGAGTGGCATTGTAAGCTGCGAGATAAAGAGGCACGTGCGAGGCATTCATAACTGAATGATTCTTTCGAGCAAGTATCCTCAATAATTCAACGAGATCGCCTGCAATCGTAAAAAGTATAACAATAATTAAAATTATTTATATAGTACCTTTCTGCGTAGAAATATTTCGGCTTTGCAATCGAGTAATCTAAATGATTTTTGGGCAACGTAATAATTGCAAATTTGCAGTAATTAAATGGGAAAATTTTTTTGTCATATAAAAAAATTATGTTTTGAGCTCTGTACGTCTTCAGTGATAGAATACATTGCATGGGCAAATTTACCTTTGACAGTGGATGATCCAAGCATAACATTAACAAATTCCGAATGAGACGTCGTCATTTCGAATAACGTTTTTACGTACTCCTCATCGACATTATCTTCATACGCGATATCACATAAAGTGCTCAGGGTTCTCAATATATTTGATTGGGTTTCATCATCCTTAGCATCCTTCAGACCCAACTTCAAAGAAAATCTGGTAAATTGCGGCCATGAGTAGCTCTTGCTGAGCGAGCTGAAGAAAAAGTCGCGTTGAATCTTTCTCAGACGAATCACTGCGTTGTTCAATTTTTCGCATAAGACTTTGATCTTCTCGATGTTCTTTGGTTCTTTCTTCAACGTCAACGTCATCACGTACAACAATATCTTTATCAAATCCGTTAAAGGCTTCTCTTTGTTCGCAATTAAATTTTCATATCTCTTATACAGACTTTCCAGCAATTGCACAAAAGAAATCGATACCATGTTCAGTTTATCGCCATTCTGAGAAACATTCTCACAAATTTTCTCGCACAGAGCAAGATCGAAAGTGTTCTCAATGAGATACACGATCGCTGCTGTATTTTCTTCAATCCAGAATACAGGATTTTGCGGCTCGGTTAAATATTCGGCAATATCATCACTGTAACATTTGTGAAGACTCTCAAGGAAGTTTTTATTCCACTCGTACTTCAAATTACTGCCCAATATTGGAAACACAATATCTCCTTGCTTCACATTCTCCATCTTGAGGAAGCATTTTATTAACGACGGAATCAACTTGGTGTTTCTGATAATCAAACTTGTTATCAGTTGAATCGTGGATACAGTAATACCTTTTGTTAATAACAGTGCGAACGTGTCAGTACTGACACCGGTAATATTATGCGGATACGTAGACAAGTATTTTGCCAAGGCTTGCTCCCATTTTTCTGTATTTACTTTATTGGATTTCAAATGTATCAAGTACGAACACAACTTTTCTACTAATTGTTCGTTCAGTACGTCACACTGATCGCGCTGCGATCTTTCCGTGCTGCAATACATATTCAGTAATATAGGAATGATATATCCGAATACAGATAGATCTTGCTTATTGCCTGAAATAAATACGATCTTCTTCAGTTTCGTCAAAGCAAGCAGCAAGCTCTCAATTTCTTGCGCGCTTAACTGCATTATTTTGAGTAATTCAATAGCGACGTCGTAACTATTGCTGCACACTTGCAGAGAATTTTTTTCAATAATATTTTCCAATTGCGTAAGAAACTTATCTCTAAACGCGAAAAAGATATTAAAAGCTCTTGCGCCATTATGTTTCTCGTACAAACACGCAACAACTTCAGAAACTTCCAGAATAGTTTCGGTAATCTTGTTTTCCATCGGATATTTCAGAGCATTCTCAGAAAACGGCGAGAAATAATGTAACAGAATAGGATGAGTGAATACACATCTCGCGTTTTCTTCGAGTGTCGCCACATTCTCTTGATTCATTGAGTGCGCAATATTTAATAAAGATATAAGCATAATTTTGCAGTTTTCGTGCTGGGCTTGCTGCAAGATTCCTCGCTGCGCTAACTGCGCCAAGTAAAACACAGTCATCTTTGACAAGGTCTTGACATCATGCAGCGACAAGGAATGATTGACGGTGATCATCTTGTCATCATATTTGAAGCAACACGTCGAATGACCATCACCAAACAGCTTGCAAAGTTCGGTTGTGTCCATTTTGGAATCCTTCAGCAACATACTGCTTATTTTACGCAATAATCTCAACGATGGAAGCTTGTTCTTCAATGAAATTGGCTGGCTGTTAGATTCGCTTGACCAACTTTGCACGTATTTGTAAACTGGCAAATTAGTCAAATCCGTTGCCATACGAATCAACAGATTCGGGATGACTTGATAATGCAAAGTATGTATCATCACGTAGGATAAATAATCTAAAATAGACGTGCAATGCTTTTCATTTATCTTTTGAAGCGCACAACATAAAAGCGGCGATATCGACATGGAAGCTTGCATTCTGCAGTTGCTGAGGTTTCCCTCGTCAGACTTATCAAAGAGATTATTCGTTATGTCATCGGTTTTCTTTAAATCAAGAGAGAAAACCTTACTACCAAAATTGTCATTGGTATCAGAAGAAAAATTATTGAGATTTGTCTTACCAAATAGCTTATCAATCATATCCTCCATCTTTTTAGTATCAAAGTTAGTCATTTGCTCGTGCCTTTGTGTTTTATGCTTGTGATTAATAACGCCTTTCAAGTTTTCCTGATTAAATTTACTGACATGATCGTTAATTGTATTATTCTTTACATCAAGATCTAATTGTTTATTGATTAAAGATGATTCTGTTGTGGAAAATTTTTCTTTGGAAGAATTGAGAGTTTTCTCGGCCTTATCGAACAGTTCGTTAATTACATCTTCCGCTTTTTTGACGTCAAAATCACCTACTTCGCCTATCATTCCTTCCATTTGTGTCATGCTATTTATATACTTATCAGTGTGCTTAATGGCACTTTTTAGAATGGACATAAACCATTGTATCAATTCATCATTCTCTTCAGAATTTGTTGCTACCGAAAAGCCATTGATCCAAATGTCCAACTGCTCTTCGCACGTTTCAAACAGACCGGTCGTGTTTAATAATGTTCTAATGGTAGAGTAGCTCTCTAATGACGCTTCTTGACGAATTAGTGATATTAAAAAAACAAGGGCTTCCTTGAAAGTCTTCTCTCTAGGCGCGAAGATGGACGAATCCAAGGTAAGCAAGAACTGTATCGCTTTGATTTTCATCTGATTCACTTTTTCCGCTCCATTGCCTTCGTCATCTTGGAAACTGTTTAAGCTTGATAATAATACATTCGGTTGTACATTTATCACACCATCTAACAATTCCGGGCATACATCCTTATACGAATGAAGAACAGTCAAGATGACGTCAAGATGGTCTATCAATTCTGGACTTTGAACATCTCCCACACTATCCAGGACTTCAATGTTAGCGTTTTCGAAAGCTCGGTTCCACATCTGCAGAATTGTTTCCAAATTGGGAACATTCCTAAGAATAAAACTTGTTATCTGATTTTGAACTACGGCTATATTGTAGAATTCTTTCGCAGTTAAAGAAATAGCTTTCAACTGACGAGTCATTGCTAGAAGAAGATTCAAGCTCTCGTGTCTGATGGAGAGATTGTCGTGATTTAACCCCGGCAAGATAGCGCTCTTCACAATCGCGCTTGGAACTATTAGGTACAAAAGTGTGCTTATTATGCTCGTATTGTTTGCACTCAGTTCCATCGCACATTGCTTAATACAATTGGCTGGGTCAATTGATTCAATTATCTATGAAAACAAGATTTAATAAATTAAAAGAAAAAAAATAATTAAACACAAGTGATATACAAATATTTTATCTTACCTTCTTTACAAATTTCAAGACACAAATCCACTTGGGTGATACTCGTGGTTCAAGAAATGACTCAACGGCACCATATTGTGAACGAATAAGATCCGGACATGCTCTCATTATCTTAATGACTAAATCCGATGGCTTCTCATGTTCCCAAGGTTTCTCCAAGTTCTGGAGAACCGTATGTACCAACTGATTGTGTTTATTTCGCGAGCCACTTAATGTCCAGTCGTGGAAAACAATTCCATAACGATGTGATGTTAGCAAAGTAATTAAGAATTCATGAACTATGTCTTTAACCACCTGAACAAAAAAAAACAGTAAAAAAATCAACATTAATAAACTCTGCTACTTGTTTGTTACAGAGCCTAGCTTTCTATTTTCTTATTGGCAATTTTTATAACATTTGTCAGAATTAAGATCATTACTTCTTTATCGGCTAAAAAATCTTCACTCTTATCCAAGCCATGACTTTTGTTCTTCGGCCAATTACTTGGACCTTTCCAGTTGTAGAGAGACACTAGATTTAACACAGTAGATGTGGAGAATACATGTAGCTTCATTGTTTTACTAATACTGGTGTTCTCCAGCACATACGTTTTTATAGTGGTCAAAATCAGGGAGACAACATCCTTTGAATCGTATAGCATGCCTGCAAAAATGCAGGAAAGCAAACTACGTTTGTCTAACAATGCTCGTATCACTGGTGTGCTTCCTTCCACAAGGAATGCGAAAACAAAATGAATGAAACATGTCCTGATATTCTGCTGATCCTTGGGCTTAGTGTGTTCTATTAAACTTTCTAGCGTCTGCTGCTGCAGTGATAAATGAACAAGCAGTTCTCTGGCTAAGCTACTATCCAGAGATACTAATGCTGCAAGCAGTTTTAATACCACTCTGCGCTGTTTAACATTGCTTTTCGACGAAAGCATAGAATGTACAATGGACATGTGTGAGTTGAGCAGATAGCGACAAGCTTCGACTGCGCTTTTTTGGCACTGAGGATATTCGGCTAAAATCCTATAAACCCAAAAAAATATTTTATCAAAAAACAAAAAGAAAACAAATAATATTAGTATAAAATGCAATTGTCACAAGTATACCTTATAAGTAAAATATTGATTGCAGAGAAGACAGTGCCGGCGTTGATTATGTTCTTGTCGGAGGAGTCTAATAATTTCAAAATTTCGTGAACATTGCCACCGGCATTCAGATACTCTGCTGCGAGGTTTCTTTCTTTATTTTCTTTGCATATTGTCACAAATTTCCTAAGAGCGTCTAAAGAGGTGGAAGAGGACAAAAGTGTTCTCAAAGATTGTCCATTAAATTCAATCTGCTCTTCACTGCAAAGAACATTCTTTGCATTTTCCTCAACATCTGCATTTTGCTGTATTGCACTATATTTAAGGTCTTGTTCTTCTTCGACAAAGCCGTTAATCTTCGCTTTTTTTACCGACGTTTCATTTTCGTCTTGCAAAGTTCGCTTACGCGCTTTATTCGATTTGCGATTTGCATCCATTCTCGTGTAATTATTCGCACATGTCTCACGTGAATGCCGCCCATGCCGTCAACTAACCATTAGCCTTTCAAATTGTAGGTGAGGTTAGGTTAGGTTAATAAAACTTATGGCAGATTCATACTACGTTTGACGTCCGACATGCAACACTTTAATATCCAATAAAAACACCGTGTTCCAAGAGATTTTTGTTGACGACATTTTTATTTCTACGAAATAAATTTTGCTATTGGATATCGGATGTCGTATGTCAAATAGCATGTGCAGTATGAATCTACCAGTATGCATATCTAGATAATTTTAATATATAGGTCTGTTCTTTATAGCTGAATTGGCTGCACTAGTTCAGAGTTTATCTTTTTCCCTCTACATTGAAAGAAGAAAGATAAACTCTGAACTAGTGCAGTCAGTTCAGCTATAAAGAACAGACCTCTTATGTTGTTCAAACAACAGTGCAGTACTAATAAAAATAAGATAGACTTGTGTGTACATTATTTATTAAAATCATATACTTAGAAAACATGTAATATATAAAAATGTGCTGATTTTATATAAATGTAATTAAATAAGGAATTTAATAAGAATGATGAAATAAACAAGATAAAAATCTAGCTAATAATTAAAAGTTAAAGGTTATATTGTTTGAAGGAGCTATAAAATATGGATAACATCGAATTATTGTTCTTCGACACATTTTCTCACGATATTTCAGAGGTCTGTTTAAAAATATTTTTTGTTTTTCTTCAAGAAAAACTTTTACGATTTATATTAAGTAGAAAAATGTTTATGTTAAATGTTTATGAGGAAATAACCATTTTTTTGACTTTCAGGAATTAAATTTGGATTTAGTGCAATTTCCTAAACCTGTTTACATTAGTGAAGTAAGAATAATTCCATTGGGTGCACGAGTGCAGGCAGATTTTCCAGGAGGAGTGCGACTTGGGTAAGTAATGCTGTAATTTTAACGTTAAAAACTTAAACTTAACGTTAAAACTCAAGAACTGTTTAATTTTATATATTAGCATCTACAGAATACAAAAAATGCACATTATTCTTTTAGAGCGACCAACCCTTCTCAATTTGAGATCGAATTTTTCGTAAACGATCTTAGTAAACCCGGAGCTTCCACTTTTGAATTTTTGGGTGCTCTAGAATACAAACAGAACATTCACATTCAATTGGAATGTGAGCGGAAACAAATACCAACGGATGGATTAGTACTGAGAGGATGGTACACCACTATAACACTGGCAGTGTATGGTACTCTAACTAAATCATTAAACAATCCTCAGGAGGTGATTAATTCGACAGCTGGTTCTACTGCTTGTGTCAGTGCTCTTGAGGAAAATCCGGAAAGTATTACCCAAGTATCTTCAGAACAGCAATCTAACTGGTATTACGAGAATCAGCACCAGACAAATTCAGCAGTAAGACAATTTGCTTTATTACTTTCGTAAAAAAAGTACACGAAACAAATCAGAAGAACTTAAAAAGATTTATTTGACGTTAAACACTAAAAACATTAACTTTTTCGAATGTATATTGTATTTGATAGTTATATGAGCTTTTTTTTTATTTGTATTTTAAATCACGTGGGCATTATGACGCGTTTATGTCCTACAGAATTGTTTAAAACTGTGTAAAACTGTAATTATTATCAATAGGAAACATGTGTAACCTCGACTCCGCCACCACCGGTTCAGCCAATTCAAGTAGTGGAACCGTCCAGAACATCTGCTTCGGACACCGCAAAAACAGAATCGGCGCAATGGGAAGAAGAGACGTCCAGTGTAGGCGAAAAGTCTTCAAAGCGACCTGTGTCTCCCCCTACAGAGTCCTTGATTTCTCTGAGTCCCGAATCTATTTCTGCCGAAGAAGAAGACGCGGAGCAACAGGAAGCTGGCGAACCGGAAACTGGCGAGCCCTTCGAGCCTATATTATCGGATGAGGATATAATGACTGACGACGTTCCATCTACTGCTGAATTCGAGTGTGAATCTTCGCAGATTGACGAGATCTACACGCTGATGCCGCCTGATCTGTTAAGCTTGGAGAAACTGGAGAATTTGGAGGACACACACGTGAATCGTGAAGTTCCGTTGAAAATCCGAGAGATCCTTCAATCTCTGTCTAAGTCAGTCTCGCATTTCCACAACGCGTCCGGCCAAGAGAAAGAAACGTTTGTACACAATTGCGAAACTCTGTGTGCCACATTGGCTCCATTCGACTGCAACGAGGACGATGTGAACGACCTGATTAGTATTATCAATGCTGGCTTGGACATGGAGCTCGCCAGAGCTCAGCCGCAACCGGCGTATAAGATGCGTCACGTGAAAGTGGGAGTTCGCTTAGCGGAGGCTTTCTGCCGATTATCGAAGGGTCCGGAAATTCTGCTGAAAGTCGAAGCCCCGTCCAAATTGCTTGCTCTCTGCATGCGCGAGAACGTGGCGCTACCGGTGAAACTTTCCGCTCTGAGAGCTCTTGACGCTGCGCTAATCAGTCCGCTAATCGTGGAAGAATTTCTGAGCACGCGCAACCACCTGTACAGAAACGCGCTAACAATGTTGGATTCAACGAAGCTGGTCAGACTGAAGTACGCTCTCAGCTCGCTTCTCCGCAAGGTTCACGTGTACGAATATCTGGAAGAGATGAAGGAATTCGACGAATTTGGTCTCTCGGAATTGATGAACGCTTACATATGCGCTCCGACGTTGATGGCGCAGCCCAAACGTCAGCTTCCGGCATGCGCGCAGATGGAATTCGAGAGAGAGCACGCTCGCAATCCTCGCGCTCACCTCGTGGCTTATTTCGAGCATCACAAGTTGATTCATCACCTTCTGTTAACGTTGACTTCCTCCAATTGCGACTTGAAGGTGGTCAAATTAATTCGCCGCTTTCTACTGCGTCTCTCTGACACGAAGGAGGGCCTGTTTTATCTGCTGAAAGAAGCCGAAGTAGTGCGGCTGATACTGAAAGCCTTGAAATACGAACTACCCGGGGCCGGTTGCGTTCTAGCGTGGCGCCTTCAAGTCGCACAGTGTCTAATTTGCTTGAAGCAGACTTCCGACTGGACGATTCTCAAGAGATTGCACTCCTTTCTCGTCTTTCCCGACGGTCTGCACGCCATTCTCACAGTTCTGCCTCTGTGCGATTTCATAGACATTTTAATTCCTTTTCTGTCGGATCCTAATCTGTGCGAGTTCGCCGCGGAAATTATCTCCGCCATCGTTCGTTATTCCGACAAAGTCGAGATCCTGCAAAATCGCGCGGAATTTATACTGGAAAAGGCTCGCGAGCACGCCGTTCTCAGAGATGTGACATCGTACTTGACGACCGCGGCTCAGGCTACTCATTGGGATTACAGCGACGTTTCCCTGTTGGTGGGGATTATCAGGAAGAGCGTGGAGAAGGCGGCAACGCTACCCGGCCAGCTGATCATCGCGTGCCGCATTCTACATTACCTAATCTTTCCATCCAACAACGACGTCGATCCCTTGGAGCCCTACGTCGAACTCAAGTACCGGAACGCCTTGACTCAGCTGTTCGCCGCTGACGGCCTCACCCCGCTGGTCGCCGTAATGGCGAATGTGTCCGATTTCTACGAACAGCCGTTCCTTCATCGCGTGGCCTTGACGGGCCGTAGAGGTATGGCGTTAGTCGCCCTCTTGCTTCCCTGCACGAGACTGACGAGAGCGCTGCTCGAACGACTCGTCAAATGCATGGCGACGGACTTCAAGGATCTCACGGCTGTCGTACCGCTGCTCGGAGTCTACTCCTTGATCGAGGCCATTCCGCCTAATCCGATGGTGCAGGCTCTGTCTGAGGAAATCGTGGGTACGTTGCTGGTGTTCACTCAAGCCGTCGATTCCGACGGTTCTGGCAACGTCGCGAAATCGCTGTGGACTCAGATGCTCGGCGAAGTCCTGAAGATGGTGGCCCTTCGGCCCTGCAACTTCATGCCGGGTCTGAAGCTGCTGACTCGCTTACTGCCGCCCGTTCTGACGTTCAAAGAAACCGCCGCCGAGGACGCCGCGAGGATTCTCGGTCTGAGGAAACTCTGGTCGGCGCATCTTCAGGCGCAGGCCGTAAACCTCACGGAGACCCTCCGGCTGCTCTGCGCCAGTTGGAATCGCGATGTATTGCTCCTCTTATCGATGGTTTGCAAGCAGCTGAGCGACCTGGCGGCACCGACGGCTCTTCTAGTCGGAAGATGCCTCTTAGCGGCATCCTGGCGGCCACTCCTCTCGAAAACAACGTTCCTGTCCTCGCTTTAGTCAGCGATCTGGCCAGACACGCTCCTATGAAGGCCACCCTGCTGACCTTGACCAGTCCGGCGTCTAGAGCGCAGGTGAAATCCGATCAAAAGTATCCGCCAGTCATTGAAATGATGTGCTCCACGTTGAAGAGTAGCAGCAACATCCACGTGCAGTACGAGATCCTGAAAATCCTCGAGACTTTGTGCGATTGTAATCTTAGTCTGGTGCAGGAGGAGGAGAACGAACCCTTCGAAAAGAGACTGACGCATTCGGTGCCCAGCAAGGAACCTCTTCTCTCCATTCTCGCCGCTCTAATCGAAATTCTGGCAGCCAGCACGAAATTCCAATCGGACGTGATAGAAAGCACACTGCACATTCTTTTATCCTTAATCAGTCACAACTACGGACTGTATCACGTGAAGAGTTGCCTGGAGAACAATCCCGGTGCCTTGCGCGCGCTGCTGGATCACGTGTCCACCCTGGAAGAGCCTGAAACGAACTCCGTGGTAGATTTGACCGTGACCTTCTTGGAGAATCTGATCGCTTCCGACTCGGAGAGGAGATCCTTGCACCTGCGCGCGCAACAATTGGCGTCTTTGATCTCGTGGGAGAAAAGCGAGCATCCCCTGGAGAAGCTGAAACGCGCGGCAGAGCTAGTGGAATCTTTAAGAGCCGCCGAAGAGAGAGAGGAAAAGGAGCCCATTCCGGAAATGTTGGAGCCGCTGCTGCCCGCCCCGGAAGCTCTGCTGAATCAGTTTTCGCAAAGGTGTCTCGGAGTGGTCAATAGCAGTCCGTCTCGATCCAGGAAGTTCTCGTTCGCGACGGCGAATCAGACGCAAGCCGAAAATACAGTGGACCTCTTGGCACTCGCGGCCGAATTACTGCCCGCTGATTTTAATCTGCTGGCAGAGGCGCAGAATTTATGTTCCAAGACGCCTCCCGACGACGCCACGCAACCTCTACAATCGAAATCTCAGGATGAAGATCAGGAAAGTAGAACGGAGAAGCAAACTTCTCCGATGACCAAGTCGAAGCAGCCATTCGGTAAGATTTAGAGAATAATTTAATAAATAACTGCTTATGTCATTTAAATAAAACCATCTGAAAATTTAATATATAAAAAAATATTCTTTGAAATGTTTTCTTTATATTGAAAAAAAGCAAGATTTCTTAATTTTTGATCGATAAAAGAATATTGTTTAATTCTTTCTAGTTAATTATATATTATTCCTGACACTTTTCTTTTAGTGACGCCGATACGAGGTCGAGCACAATTTGCCAATTCGATACGAGGCGGCCCGGTGGGTGGAGGAGTGGGTAGAGGAGCTGATCCTTTCCGGTCGAGGCCGCCCAACACTTCTAGGCCGCCGTCTCTTCATGTAGACGAATTTGTAGCTCTGGAAACCTGCGGAGCTCAGCCGACCGGCCCTACCGGCTACAACAAGCTCAGCATTCGTGGCACGTGTCCGTCGCGCGTTATCAGCAGCGGCACCAGAAGTCGACCTTGGGCGCAAGAAACTCGTCCTCCGTACCTTCGCTAATTCATTCGTCACAGTTCTTTCTGTTTTATATATGTATATATTTATACATAAATTACGCTAATAATAATGTACATTTTTTTCTGAAAAATGTTTACGAAGGTAATGTTTCATCTTGTGATAGTTCACTCGTCATCTTTTATCATCTTTTTCCATCTGGGATATTGCTGTCCAAATCTCTCTATGTTTTCCTTCAAACGCTGCATTTTTTGAAGCTTGTACTTTCCCTACAGAGAAAATGGTATTTTAAAAATGTATACAAATTTATATATAATTTTTTTAACAATTTGTTAATAATTAGATACGAGTAAAAATTATTTCTAATAACTTTTTTAACTTACTCTAGGTTTCTCAATCTTCGATAATCCTTTGGAAAATTCCTCCAGATTTTTAATGGCGGCCGCATTGGGATACATTTTATTTTCCACCATATAATTCATCACAAATAACAAGTAGTGCAAATCTTTCTTGTGGCAAGCTGTGTCGATGAGAGTACTCATGATTGCATGATTGGGTTTATAGCCGAAAACTTCTATTCCTTGCAATAATTCTTTAGCGTCTTTGCATTTTTGGCAACCGAGCGCCAAGACGCCAAACGTCATAATATTTGGGGAAAGCTTCTTCCGCTCTGCTATGCTTAACACCTCCTAAATTATTAAAATGCATTAGGCAATACTGAATAGACGAAATAGAAATCTGTGACACTCACCTTTGCAGCCTTGTAATCAAATCGCATGCTGCGTCTTTTGATGAGCATATTATAAAAGTCAATATCTAGCTTGATACCATTGTTATCTGCAATTTTTAACAATAAATTCTCCGCTGGTATCGAATTCGGAATTAAATCCAGGAGCAGTGTCATGGTTTTCTCATTGGGTTTAACATCATCGATGGCCATTTGATCTAAAATCCATCCACACCACCGAATAAGATTAAACGATTACTCACCAGCACGTCATTTAAGTTTATCGATTCTTCCTGCTTTGCACTAGCATCATATTGCACAATGCTCTGTTCTTTTCCCGCTAAAGGTAACAATGTACTCAGAACAGGTGGAGATGCCAATAAATTTGGTCTTTCACCTTCCTTCAACAAAATCCTGGTCTGCTTAGTCTGCCCTGAGACAAGGACTTCGTTGAGCTTTAAACTCTTAAAATCTGTGTCTCTGATTGCTCTTAGGAAAAGATTGTACGTAGTCAAAGTTGGTTTGATTTTCCACGAACGCATTAAATGCCACACAATCAGAGCGTGTCGCAGACCAGCCTCTTTGTGAGCAATTGCTCCGTGAAGGAGGGAATTATAGGTGCTCTCCCCAATGGGTAGACGCTTGTCCTTCATTTCGTCCACTAATTGAAAGGCTTCCACGGTTTGATTGTGCCAACTATACGCCTTCACCATGACGTTATAATGCGTTTCGTTCAACGGAAACTGCTTCTCATAGAGTGATTGTCGTAGATTCTTTAAATAGTCCAAAGCAAGCTCACTGTTCTTAGATTCAGCGCATACATTAAACAGACTGGTGTAAGTTGCTGCAGTTGGTTCCAAGCCACGCTTTTTCGCTTTGTTATAGAGACTGATACACTGCTTTATATCACCTTGCATAGCATAACCTCGCAACAACAGATTGTATATGTACATAGTGGGTTTGTCTCGATTCTTTTTTATGAGATCAAGTACACTTAAAGCGGAATTTAAATCATTCTTGGATATGTAGAAATTGATCATTTTAGCATACTGGCCCAAGCTGGGTTTCAGCCGACGCGGAACGCGTGCTTCTGTATCTTGAAACTTTTCTTCTTCTTTTTCAAGCTTATCCATCTCAACGCGCTCAAATTTTCTACCTGAAATGTCTCCAAAAATATTTGCAGTTTTTGGAAGCTTTTCCACACAGAAATTGCTGACTTGAGGCTGTAGTCTTGGCTGCAAGTGTTCATTCTTGACAACTGTACAAAAATGTATGAAAATATAATAGATTTATAAAACTAAAAAGATAAAACATTCAAATGTAAAATTATTGAAATTTGTCTTGCAGAATTCTTTCACAATCTCTTTAGAATTTATCACTTGTTTCTACATATTAATCAATATTAATATTTTTATATTATTTTATTTTGCATCATTAGTCTAATTCATAAATGTTATCGATAAACATAACTATATTCATTAGCTTTTTTTGTTACATCTTCAAAACTATGCGCAAATAAAAATTTTCTCAAATAAATTTGAATTCTGCAAACACAAATTATGTACAATAGCCGAAAAAAAATTAATTTACTTGCCTTGTTTTGTACATGTGACTAGCTGATTAAATTCATTGATATAACCTATAAAATTGTTTAGTTTTATTGACGTGCGAAATCTCTGACACAACATTTTGTATGCAAAAATAATTGCATTGAAAAAAATTTGTCTTTTTTAAAATTAGTTTGACTTGTTTCTGCAATACTACAGTTTGAAATGAAATTGAATTAAAGTACATGAATTAAATCGCATGCCGTATTATGGAAATAGTCCTACATTTATATGGCTACGAATCGTAGCCTACGATTAAAATTCGATTAATAAGACATCAAAATATCGATGATCGATATTCAAAGGTCAAGTATCGATACACAAAAATATCGAATAATAAAATTTCGATACATATATATATCGATAATTGAATGCCAAGCATCGATAGTCGAAATATCGATATTTGGATACTAAAGATTGATAGTTGAATATATCGATTTTAGTATCCAAATATCGATATTTCAAATATCGATACTTTAGTATTCAAATATCGATACTTTAGTATCCAAATATCGATATTTCAAATATCGATACTGTATCGTCAATCTTTAGAACGGGTACCATATGGCATATTTTTTTACTAGATTGAAACACTTCACTGCGTTTGTCGCGTCGCGTATGCGCGAAAAATCGGGCAGAATCTTGCTACACTGAACGCCAGATTTGAGACGCAAGCAGCACAAAAGAGAGAATATTGTTTACATTTTGCGAAAAAGCATAATACTAATATATATTATTATTATATATATAATATAACATACATATATTATATATATAATAAATTTAAGGACATTTAAGCTGGTTCTACAATAAGTTGCAAA